TTTGTATATCTTATGTGGTTCGATATACTTAGTTCACTATAAACAATGCTCTGATACCAATCTGTCACACCCCCAACCCAAGGATGGCGGAAACGTTCGGGGGTGGAGGACTTCATGTAAAGTATCACAACAACGAGTATAATAGTGCTCAAAGTAAATACAACCATCATAAATATAATTGAAAAGGTTACACCAAAGTATATGTTTACATGTTTCAAAATCAATTACACTATGATGACAAAATAAACTGTTTGACGATTTAGCGTCCCATCCTCAAAGCGCTGATGTTTTCCTGTTTTACTGATTTTCTGAGAATACAAGTAGTTTTGAAAAGTGTCAACAATTAAGTTGGTGAGTTCATAAGAGTTTTGTTTGAGGAAGAAATCGTTTTCCTTGTAAAAGCGACAAAGTATATTTCCAGAAAATCCAATATTTTCTTAGTTAAGTGAGAAATGAATGCTCCTATGTTATGCAATAATGAACCCTAGAAAGACCCATAGATTCCTTCTATAATCGTCCAGTGTATATAAGTTATATAAAATCTAAGTTAAATAAACCGTTGAATATAATGGGTCTGCCCTAGGTCCACAACCAAACAAGGAACAGGAGATGAGGCGGGCCCACCAATTCTAAGTCGATTGTGACTAGATTCTTATATAACTCTAGCATATACACTAAGCAATTATAGCTGAAGCCTAACAATTCTAGTCGTAATGTAGTTTTAATAGAGATATATTTCCAAAGAAAATCCGATATTTTCCCTAAAGAGTGAACCGTAAGTTTCTATATTAATAAATAGTGCATCCTAGAATTTCCTATAGTTTCCTTCTATAACCTTTAAGTGTATATAAGTTATATACAATTTAAGTTAAATAAACCGTTGAATATAATGGGTCTGCCCTAGGTCCACAACCAAACAAGCAACAGAAGATGAGGCGGGCCCACCAATTCTAAGTCGATCATGACTAAATTCTATATAACTTTAGCATATACCCTTAGTAATTATGGCTAAAAACTAACAATGCTAGATAGAGTGTAGTGGTGGTGGACATAAACTATACATGTCATAATTCACCAAATAGTGGTAGTGATAGTGCTCATGAATTATGCATATTATAGTTTATCAACTAGTGGCAGTGATAGTGAACCTAAACTATACCTATTATAGTTCTAGCGTGTTTGTGGACATAAACTATACATATCATAATTCACCAAATAGTGGTAGTGATAGTGCTCATGAATTATACATATTATAGTTTATCAACTAGTGGCAGTGATAGTGAACCTAAACTATACCTATTATAGTTCTAGCGTGTTTGTTTGTGATGTATAAGGACTCTTTTCTATGTAAGTCGAACGTATAGCAACAGATAACTATGTGTTATCATGCCTTATTTTGGTACTAATGGTAATAATGGAGGATTCTTACAATTTAGTGAGTATTTGCTGTTATATAAATATACCACAACAAGAAACACATGTAAAATATGAAATCCTCAAAGATTAACACTTTGCTCAACAAGTTACAAAGTGTGATGAAAGTTATAAACTGTTATCTAGATTTTTACCTTCCTACGCCGTTTTAGAAAAATCATAGAAAAATTATACGAAGTCAAAAACTGAATCCGTAAATTCTGAGAGTTCACAAAATGTGTCTAGCTTATTCATAATTTTTGTTATGATTTTTGGAAGTCTTTAACTTGTGTTAAAATGTTCATATTTACAGACTGGTCCGGATTTGTTTCAGAAATGATAGACAGTTTTGTAAAAATCACCATAAATCGTAGAAAAATCGTATGGTGATGTGCAAGTAGTCATTTTAAAGGTATGAACCTGAACTATTTACACCTAATACAGTTTTGAAAACTAAAATGTTTGAGTTGACCAAAACAGTCCGTGAATGAGGTTAAACTTTTCTGATGAAGGCTGTTAAATGGGTTTAGTTATGTTCTTGGTGTTTTAACTTGTATTCCCCCCCTTAAAACTTAAGAAAAACATGAAAAGATAGGGGTATGAACTCACTTGAGTGATTTCAGTAGATGGATGTTTGAAGAATGGAAGTGTTCAACTCAAGAACACTAAGAAGATGCCTTGATGATTCGAGAACCTAGCACGAAGGTGACGATGTTTGTGAAAGATATCTAAGATTTTGAGTAGGAGGATGTGTAATAATCATATGAAGGATGGTGATACTTACCAAATGAAGAAGGAAAGCTTGAAAAATGCCTTGGAAATCTCGAAATTGTGAGAGAGAATTTGAGAGAAAAGTTGTGTTTGATCTTTGGTGGAAAGTGTGAAAATGACAGAAGTGTGAGGAGTGAGGGGATTTTCCAGCTCTTAGAACGTGGTAATGGCTGGGAAATGAGTGGGAAAAGACTATGAAGTGACTAGGTATGGGTGAATAGTGACTGGGAATAGTCAAGGAGTGGGTGTGGGAGGTAACTTGTGTCCTTGCCCAAAGGATAAGTCAACACTCCACCTAAATATCTCACCCACTAGATTTTATTCTTAAATAAAGATTTCCATAAAAATATATTTAAATTATGAATATTTAGGGTCTTATATGTTAAAATATAATTTTTGGAGAAAATCCCGCGTTAAAATCACGAAAAACGGGCTTAATACGTGAAAATGGTCAAAAACCGGGCAAAAATGTGAAATTCCGAAGTTCAGGCCGAGAATGCGAAGGCTCGGCTCCTTAGGAGCTTAGAACCGAAAGTGGGTGGGAGCCGAGAGGAGGGGAAGAGGAACCGAGAGCGCGAGGAGAAGAACAGAAGGCGAGGCTCGGTCTTGGCTGCGTAGGCTCGCACCTCGGACAGAAACTCAAGCTCCTCGGACCGAAGGTGAGAAGGGTAGAGCCGAAAGTCAGTCTCGGTTCGAAATTGTTGGAGGACCGAAATAGACCGAGCGCTCGGTCCATTTCGGTTGGGAGGGTTTCGGTTCTCAGGAGGTTCGGCTCTAAGAGGAGTTTCGGTTCCTAAGAGGAGTTTCGGTTTCTAAGAGGAGTTTCGGCTCCTTAAGGCTGTTTTTCGCGTAGACTTCCGTTTTCGAGCGGTTTTCGACTAAATTAAGGGTCGGGATGCCCCGAGTGATTTTAAGAAGTTGAGAGAGATTTCGAGAGAGATTTGGGAGATATTTGACATACTGGGAGAGATTTGGGAGAGATTTCACATACTTGGAGAGATTTCTCATTCAGAGAGATATTTGGGAGAGATTTCACATACTTGGAGAGATTTCTCATTCAGAGAGATATTTGGGAGAGATTTCACATACTTGGAGAGATTTGGGAGAGATTTGACATACTTGGAGAGATTTGGGAGAGATTTGACATTCTTGGAGAGATTTCTCATACAGAGAGAGATTTGGGAGAGATTTCACATACTTGGAGAGATTTGGGAGAGATTTGACATTCTTGGAGAGATTTCTCATACATAGAGAGATTTGGGAGAGATTTCACATTCTTGGAGAGATTTCTCTTACTTAGAGAGTTTTGGGAGAGATAGAGTGAAAGAGATTTGGAGAGACTTCTTTTGTGACCTTTTTGAGTGTTTGGCTTCGCAACGCAAGGTTCTTACACTCTGTTAAGCCTTGTTATGAATGTTATACGCTCCCGAGGGGTATGGAATAATGTTTTATCGAGTAGATTCATCACTTACCCTAATTAGGGTTTAGAATTTCCGAACACGTGAAAACTCTAAGTGATACATTATTTTAAGATTGCGAGTGGTACAATAAGAATCATAATGGAAACCCTAATATAGAAGGGTTAGATGAGTTGACCGGTTTGACTCGTTGACTTTAGTTGACTTTGACTTGGCCAAAAATTGACGGTTGTCACAAAAGTTGGCTTCTATGAATATGTAAGAGCATCTTCTAACCTGTACGGGTCTTCTAGTTGGATAATTTTGAAACGACCTCTTTTAAAAGTTATGTGGAGTCCTTTACTACCATCTTCATGACATTTGGGTGTTGTTAGTGTGGTAAGTAAATATGCGAGTTGGCATTTAGAGTTTTGATGTGAGTATTTGTGTGCTTTGTGCCAATTTAGATAACTTGTTCTACTTAACCACCCATCATTGGAGAAACCAAAGGGAATCATCTAAGAAATTAAGGACATATAAAAACTAGATAGAGATGGAAATTAAGGACAACTAAACAGATGACTTGTAATTAATGTTTTAAAAACCGGTTTTTTAGTTGAACCGGTATGGTGACCGGTTCGAACGCCAGGTCAACCGGTTTTTATAATTTTCATCTTTTTTCCTGTTTTCGTACACATACATACATATATAAATCATGAATTTGAGGTTTATGAGTTCAAACATTACGAATACACATAAAAATAAGTTGTAAATGAATCCAGATACATTAAAATAACACATAACCATAAATTTTAGTGTTTTAAATCAATTACATCAAAAAGAAAATAAAGTATAAATAACGAAACAAAATATATGACATTTATCATATGTTTTTATTTAGAGAAAACTAAATAGATTTGAAAAAAAAAATCATCAAAGTTTATTATGCAAATTGTTCTTTTCTATATGTTTTTATTCGGATGAACCGGTTTATTTTTACCGGTTAACCGGGTTTTTCTAAAAACCGCCGGTTCAATCCGGTTCTGAAATCGACGTAAAACCGATGATAGTTAAATTGTTTCCTCCACCGGTTCGACCGGCCAATTCAAACAGGTTTTTAAAATATTGTTTGTGATCAAGGTACGTGATCAGTGTTAGCTTATATTTTCTTTTTGCACTTTCATAATGAAAGCCTAACGATTGAGGATTCTGTATAGGATGTTTAAAGTTCAAGTCATATACATTCGAAATATCACTAATATTCTATAATTTATCCCTATATGATATGACTTAAGACACCCATATATGATATGACATGAGAGGGTTCGATATGGGCATCTAAAAGGTGCATTTAGATGCAATTTATTTTTCATATTATTTTTAAAATGTCTAAATCACTTGTGAGTTGTGACTCTAGACATCCGAATGTACATACAAGTATAAAGAAAAAAAAAAGTTTATTCATTTGTAACAATCACATATCTTACACGACATATATACTTGTAACAACTTTACACTACGCACACTTCTTCAACAAGGGAGCCACGTGGCCTCCTGTTGGACCTTTTGACTTTCCTTTTCTTTTTTGACAGTTTCTTCTCCAAATCTTTCACTCTCCCTGTAAGCTCCTTTATCACACTCACCTGTTCATTCCCCGCTTTCATCAGCTCCTCCACCAACACCCTCAGCTTCTCGTTCTCCTCCATTATATTCGTGTCACCACCACCACTCGAACCATGGCTTCCTGCGGCAGACAATGGCGGAGCTCCTCCAACATCCTCCATTAGAACCACCTCCTTAGAGCCGCCATCAACATCATCCACCATTGGAGCTACTTCCAGGTCAACATCTTCTTTACCTAACTCCATCGTCTCCACCGTGCCTACATCCGTTTCCACCTCCACTGTAGCGGTGGTTAGATCTTCCATAGTATCCACGTTTTGTAAAACTAGGGCTTCTCTCTGATCGGACTTCTCTTCTTCCACCGGCGGCTCGATCTCCTCCACCATCTCAAGCTGTTCGCCGGAGAGCTCTATCATGCTCTGTTTCCCTTCCGGTTCCACCTGTGGCACCAGATTGATATCACGAGCTTCTGTGCCGCCGTCACACTCTATGGTTTCAATACTGGTACCAGATTCCGAATGTGCCTGATCCTGATCGGAGTTCTCTTGGATGACGTCATCTACAGGCTGCTGGGCCGCCACCGCCGTCTGAACTTGGTTATTTTTAAGCTCGCCGGTGATCTGTTCAGCCAATTGCTCCGGCTTCATATCGTGTACAGGATCTGCAACTTTGACTTCATGATTGTCGCCGCCATGCTCACATAGATCGGATTCCATGGTTTCAACACTGATTCCAGATACCGATTGTGGCTGATACGACTTTTCTTGGATGACATCATCATCATCTACAGGCCGCTCGGTCGTCACCGCCATCTGAATTTGGTCGTTATTAACATCGCCTGTGATCTGGTCAACCAGTTGCTCCGGCGTCATATCGTGTACAGAATCTGTAACTTCGACTTCATGAGCCTTGTTACCAGATTGAGCTTGTTCCCGATCAATGGAATCATCTAAAGGCTGCTCCGGCTCTACCAATGTCGTAATCTGATCGTTATTAAGCTCGCCGGAGTTTTCTTCATTTTGAGATTCCACTTGTGGCTCAAGAGCGGTATTTCTGATTTTTCCACCATCATCTTCTTGAGATTCTTCTGTAGTTTCGCTTGGGGTTTCAGATTTCAGAAATGTTAACGAATCAAGCTTCTCTTGTAAACCCACAAGCTCTTTTGCCACCGATTTCCGAACATCTCTCACAGTCGGATGCAGACCCTGATGAATCGCATATCAAAAAAATGGAATTATGATTCCAGCAACAAAAAAATTACAATTGAGAAGATGAAGAAATGAAGGTGTACCTGAATGGTGTCTAGCTTCAGGAGAAGACTCATTATGGTCTCTCCGATGATCAATTTTTGCTTGTCATCCATGGATGACTCCAGATCCTGAATACGATTTCTCAGCTCAACCACCTGTTTTCCAACTTGAGCAATTTGCCTTAGTTTCATCAACGGCTGCGATTTCCTCACTTCAAAACCACGATACGCAGACTGTATCATCAACACTGCTTCATCTTCAGACAAAATTTTCCTTTTCCCCACTTTTGAAGCTTCAACTTCACTCGATCGATCTTGTTCCACTCCCTTTTCACTGCAAGAATCAACATTGCTATCTTTTTCAACTTTCTTGCTATCGTTCTTCAAGTCTTCTGATGACTGTGTTTGTTGTTTAAAAGATTTTGAATCTTTAGTTGTCGACACTTTTGATCTTTCTTTATCACCAGGAGGACTAGGTGATCGTGATGAACTCTTCTTCTTTCTTGGAAGTGGATCAATTCGTAAACAAACAGGAGGCAGTTTTGATGTCTTCTGTGATGCCTTGTCCTCTTTTGTCCCTAATTGTTTCACCGGAATCACCTTTTGAACACCATGTTTACTACTATTTTCCGATTCAGCCTCATCGTTTTTCCTTGTCTTTTCATCAGCATTTTGATTGTCCTCCTTCATGTCCTTATTTCCCACTTCATTATTCCTAGAAGGCAACCAAAATATAGGAAAAGGGAATGATTCTTGGGGTATTTCACCATTTCCTCCTTGCTTTGAAGGTTGAATAGTCTTTAAAACAGGCTCATGGGAATGATTCTCTTTCTCATTTGCATTTTTTGATTCGGTGGTGTTCATGTAGCTAGGAGGGACCCACATGATTGGATAAGGGGAGTCCTTCAAGAATGTTTTCTTTTCAACTTCTGGCTCCTCTTGTCCAATGTTTGACTTTTTCTCGCATCCAGAGCAATGATGAGTAGTAGTAGTAGTAGTAGGGGTATTTTTGTCATAATCGTATCTTGGCTGCTCCATAGAATAATGTGGTGGTGGTGGGACAGGGTAAGCAGGGTGAGCTCCGGGAAAAGGAGGGTAGAATCCATGGGTGTGAAATGGTGGTGGTGGTGGTGGGTGGTGAGTGTAAGGGGAAGTGAAACTGTACGGACAACCGAAATAGCTATGGTTGCAACATGAGTGACAACCCTGTGGGATTGGATAAGAATGGTGGCTAGCATAAGGCCAGGGGTAATATGGTAAATTCATACCATGATCCATCTCTATGGGTCTTGGATTTGTGTGATAGGGGTATGAATCTGTCCGTGGGTATGCAGGATACATTATCACGGGATTTGATGAAAAAGTATGACTCGCAGATTGAAGAAATTACAATAGTAAAAACACCTGCAACCAACAACCAAAGAAAGCCACAGATCTAATTAAAACTCTGAAGAAAGCATTGAACTCCATACATGAAACAATATAAATGATGATTCATAAAAAAAAACGACCAAAATCGACGAGTATTTAATCGAAAAGTACAAGTTTATGTCACGATTTACAAAAATTAAAGTATAATAAAAAAACAAGATATTCCAGAAATAATACCACTACATAACGAATTAACGATCACAATCGATGTCCATAACATATTAACATTTAATGTGAGATTAGTCTAATAGATTAAAACAAACAGAACCATATAAAACGATCACGACCTCCAATTTCTGAAACAAAATCAGAAAATGAGGTTAAAAACAGCAATATATCCCACTATATCGGTTAAAATACAATTTTCGCAAAAAATATGCTCCATGAAATCAGAGTAACAGACTATAACAAACATTTCTACAGTAGTACGAAATTGGGAAAGGGGATCAAAAAAACAATTATACGGTAAAATAATGATCTCACAATTCGATTTGCAGCTACAAAGACCACTACAGTGAAATTAAGAAGAAGAGGACAAGTAGACTTACAGTAACAGCAGATCCAAACAAAGCTCCACCAATCGATTCCACAAATCCTAATAACTCAGATATCAGTTCGATCTCGATCCACCAACCCAATGAAAGCTCTAGAATGTGCTTGTGCTTCTCGCTTGTAGTTTGCTCTGTTTCAATTCGTTTCTGTGAGATGTTAATATTCATCGGATCAATATTTATATTGTCGTCTCTCGTTATCGTTGTCTACTGGTTTCCAGATTTTTCTCGCGCCTCTTTACCAACGGAATTCTCCAGACATTTCTCGCGACGTGTCACGTGATATATAATATTATATATCACTTTCACCTTCGAGTCTAATAAAGCCTTGTGGCCCCTTTTCATTCAACATGCTCATTTGATTTTTGCAACGAATTCTAAAAAAGTTTTTTTACTTGTTTTTTAAATATAAATTAAAAAGACAAAATTGTAAGAATGGTCCTGTGGTAGTGTGGTATGTCAAAACTAGCAACTTTGGTCCACAATGGGTTTGACTCGTAAGGATGGTCCAATAGCTTCGTTTTGTTGCGAGTTTAGTCCAAAAAATTTAAAACTTTTTATAATGATGGATTTGCTCTTTGTATTTTTCATTTTTCAATTTTTTTTATTATAGAAATCAAAAAAAGAAAATCTCTCTCTCTCTCTCTCATACAATCTCTTCATCTCGTTAGTATCTCATCAGAAAAAAAACTCCCTCCTCCTTCTTCACTTACGATCAAGAACACCCCACTTCCCTCATAATTTTCGGCTATCATTGCATATCGTCGTCGTTAATCCACCCTCTTCTCCATCGCCGGAAAAGGGCAATACCTCCCCTCGTTTTGCAACAGCCCAACCACCCACCATAGCCGATGCCGTCAGAATCCCTTCCTCGACCTCTCTTTCATCTCCAACTCGTCTATCTCCCTCGTTTCTCACTTCTCCGGCAAAGAGAGCCACCACAGTCGACTGTGGCAGCTCCTCCGCCTCCCCCTGTCGTAACCCACCACCATCCAACATCCCAAATCTAAATCCACAATGGGTGTTCTTCGTTCTTGAGTTTGGATCTGAAATAAAACCCAAAATCCAAAAGTTGAAGGTAGGTATGTTCTTGGTTCCAAATTTGAAACGTGGATGAAGAAGGGTAGATCTGAAACAAAATCCACACACAAAACCTTACCTGAAACGAAAACCCACCATCGATTCGAATGAAAGGCAGATCGACGGGAGCTCCGGTGAGGCTGGGAAATCGCGATGAGGTGCAAGGGGGTCCGTCGAGACCGACAACCCTCTGTGGGTTTACTCTTCGTCTTCACTATCGGGCGACTGTTACAGCGAGGGGGCTGCTCCGGTGGCCTCCTTGGCTGTTCTTCTTCTTGCCTTTTGTTCTAAAAACAATGTTGAATCAAGACTTGTTCAATCAAGAAGAAAATTGATGGTGTTTGATTTGGAGGTCTGAAAGTGATAGAGACAGAGATGGTGTTCAAGAAGAAAGCACCTTCTATTTGCAGGTGAAGGTGATGGAGATGGGTTCAACTGTTGTGTGTGTGAGAGAGAGAGAGAGAGAGAGAGAGAGACTTTATTTTTGTTTTATTTTTAATTGTTGTAATAAAAGAAAAATGGAAAATAAAATAAAAAGGGGCAAATCCGTCATTATAAAAAAGTTCATATGAAATTAGACTAAACTCGCAACAAAACGAAATTATTGGACCATCCTTGCGAGCCAAACCCATTTTGGACCAAAGTTGCTAGTTTTGACATAGCACAGGGACCATTCTTGCAATTTTGTCAATTAAAAATAGCTTAAATTTTTTATTTTTAGAACAAACTATAAATCCAAATACTATTTAAAATATTTTTTAAATATTTTGAGTATTTATATTTTAATTTGAATTTTTTTAAATGTCATTTTATATCATTTTAAATTTTTTAAAATTTCACTTCGAAATAGATTCAAGGAATCCCTGAAACCGAATAACATCTTCTCACATGAATATACTGCTATACTCGAAACCAAAATTAAAGTCATTCTCGAATCAACATAACTCACCATATGGGAACATTTGGTCAAATTAGCATTAGCATCATCGTATCATCGTATCATTAAAAAAAATGCGATTTACATATAAAAACACTACTAAAAAACCCCTATCCATCTCGTTTTCCCCAAAAATAATTGAAAAAAAATCAAAAGATTATCACAAAGAAAGAATTGAACCAATCCCACTACACCTACCAGAAAAACCTATGAAGAACCACCTCCGCTACCTGAAACCCCTCACTACCGCCGCCACAGTAGAGTTTTCCGGCGGCGGCTTCACATACTTTCCGATCACTTTCTGGTGAGTCCGGTTCTTAATCCTCTGAATCTTGGCTCGCGTCTTTTGTTTCTTTGTTTCTTTCTCTTTCCTCGATTGCATCCTTTCTTTCTCATAAACTCCTTGCCAGAACACCTCGCCGGTGGAAGGCCATAACCACCGCCTTGTAGGGTGGTCGGAATCGGCCTCCTCCGCCAGATCTTCATCCATGGCTTTCAGGGTGCTATAATCGAACCATTTCACCCACATTTTTCCCACGCGTTTCTTGAAATCATGTTGTTGTTGTGTTTTTCCGGTGTTGGGATCTATGTACACCATTCTTCTTGCGCTATGATATGCCCAAATGTTAACAAGAACCTCGAGTACCCGTGTGTAGCAATGCTTGTCCTTCAAAATTTTATGAATAATTTATGTATCATATAATACAAGTGTTTTTCTGTAATTTGCCCCAACTAAATATGACAATAATCCCCCCTTTAGCAAAATAATTTACCTTGTTCAAACTTAGATAGCACAAACCAGCTCCAGCTCCATGATGTTCATCATACATTTGTGCATCTATAGCATCTACAAATATCCTGCAAATTAAAAAATTAAAATTCCTTCCCTTCATTTTTATATAAATTCATTAATCAAAAACAATCTACAAACCTTGAGAACATCACAAACTCAAGGAAAGATTTTGTTGGCATGGCCCAACTATTCATGACAGACCATGTGTCTCCATCTACGGGCATTGGGGGTAAAATAGTCAAGTTACCCTTTATCCCGTACATTTTTTTGAAAGCTTCTGAGTACGCAAACCTTGTACAAAATCAAACTTAGATTTTGTCCCACAAACGGCTTTTTTCTCATATTTTAGCAAAATCGTTCAATTTTTTTTTTCAACTTACTTGCAATTACCGGCATTTATAGCATCGCAAAATGACCAAAAATCTTGTTGGGTCGGGTTTCTTGGATCTTTATCCATACGAACCCAAAAATAAAGTGCATCACCATGTTTTTGAGCTTCAATATCTTCTAGTAAAGCAATTTCGGCATTCTTCGATAAAGATTCCTACATAAAATATCACCGACATTAATTTGAGGGATAGATGCAAGAAATAGCAACGTACTTTTATTAATTTCTCTATTAAAAACAGTATCTTACTTTCATTTCTTCATGTTACAACATTGTACTTTGAAAAATCTACCCAACTATACCAATGCCATCCAAAGACAAAAAAAAAAAAAAAAAAAAAAAAAAAAAAAAAAAAAAACAATTTTGATTGCTATAATGGGTAGATTCTTCAAAGTATAACGCTATAATGGGTATAAGGCTTTAAGAAGAAAAAAATTGGAAGTAGGATGCTATAAAATATAATACAGAAATAAGTGAAAGTATGTTGTTGGTATATTTGTAGTTTTTAGAATAAGAAAGGTGATGTGAAGTTGCCTTTTTAGGGGTAGATCTCCATGAAGAAAAACCGATCCAAGCATTTTTATGAATGTGGTCAATTCGATTAGCAATGGCAAGAAAAGCTCCAAAATCACCAAATGTGTCACGGTAGTAAGCTGTGTTTAGAAGAGGGAGACGTGAAGCTGCATCAATGTCATCTCTTCTTGGTCTTCCACTTTTTTGTTGACTACAACATTATCAATTCATAAATCATAAATGTATTTACTTACTTCATCATGGTTTTTATGTGAATAAATAAAAGGTATTTCAAAAATGGCAATCTTGGTTTTTTCTACTAAAAATCAAGAATTGACCAAAAGTCAAACTTCGACTCCAAAAATTTTGATGAATGTAAGGTTATAATTACTTGATCCTGGTTTTTTTTATGAATAAAGGGTGTTTCAAAAGTGATAATCTTGTTTTTTGTACCAAAAAATCAAGAATTGACCAGAAAGTCAAAGTTTGACTCCAAAACGTCAAAGAAAATTTTCAACACTAAAATTATGCAATTAAAGCCTAAATCTGATGTATATAACACCAATCGACACAGTAAAAGTCCATGTTTGTCCAATTAATCAAAAGGGGTTGTGCCAAAATGACCTAAAAACACTTTTAGAAGCACCTTAAAGACATAATCATACAAGTGAAATTCAGATCTAGCCTTGAAAACATTACACCGAGAAAATCAAACTTTGACCAACAGTTCAAAAGGTTTGATAAAAGGTAAAATGACCTAAGAACGCATGTGATCATCTCAAAATAAGTTTAAATCCAGCTTATGACAAGCCATTATGAAGCAAAAAAGACAATGCCTTGACCAAAAATGGTTTCCAAAAGTCAGAATTTGACACTAATATGAGTTCAGAAATGAAAATCTTGGTCTTTTGTACTGTAAATCAAGATTTGATGACAAACACCTTGACAAAAAAGTCAAAAGAGTTTTCATAGATGCATAATAAAAAAGTCAAAAGTCAGAAACTACTTACGAGTCGAATCCCCCGATAAAGAGAATTAGTGTGGAGAAAAGACCAAGATCCTTTACCAAAGTAAGGTTCATAGATGCACAACGGTTGACCTGTTCTTTCAAGCTCCCCATCATCCCTCTCATGCAAATCATTCTTATTTCTATCAGCTTTTTTCGCATTTTTGTATACTTCCTCCCATGTCCCCCTTGATTGCTCACTTCTATCTCTCACCTACATAACAAAGGGCAAATAAGTAATTTCACATCAACCAAAAAGGAAAAAAGAGATTTTTTTTCAATTTTCATCCCGTTACCTCATCGTCTTCTCTTGCCCTTCTAGCTTTCATTATCTGGTTTCTTTTTTCTTCTTCCCATAAATCGTATATAAAGGAATCATTTGTTGGAATTTCCGATATTGCCCTTGGAGCACGGTTCCATTGACCTTCGACTTTGTCTAACAAATGATGAATCCTCAAAGTTCTATTTACATATTTACAATCTTCAATAGCTTCAAAAAGATGCCATTGCCACTTTGTTTTGATATCGGAAGGAATTTCCGATATTGCCCTTGGAGACGCAACTTCCGAAGGAAGGTGAAGGATGTTTTCTATCAATGAAGCATACCCTTCAATGGAATCCAAAGCCATCATGTTTTTAGCAGTGTATTTTCCGGTTGATGCGATATTGGTAGCTAGAGATGATAGTTTTCCTTTGGAAACCACTTGTAATGTTATTTGTGTTAACTCCTTTATGTTTTCCTTTGGAAAAAGAAGCCCATTTACCCCGTGATTAACCTGAAATGTGTTATGAAATTATTAGTTTGTATACTTTGATTTTTGAAGTCAAACAAACTTTTTTCTACTTCAAAAATAATGATATGAGTCTATAGAAGTTTGACATTAGTTTTTCATACATTGACTTATAAAGTCAAACAAACTATTTTCGATTTCGAAAACGATATGAATCAGAACTTATTGAAGTTTTTTGTGGAAAAAACAGTAATTGGGTTTAAGAAATACAATTAGTGCTATAAACAAAAAAGAATACAAGATCATATAAATTTCACCCAAATAGAAGTTTGACTGAAAAAAGTCAAAGGATAATTTGTAATAGAGATAGGTTGACTTACATATTTCTTGATTATTGGTAAGTCAGGGGCAATTATTGGTTTCTCAAGACACATTGCCTTTGTCAGAATATCAGGAAAAGATTGTTCTTCAAGGAATGACCCGTATATTACAAGATCAGTTATTCCTAAAACGCCCATGTCTTCATCAATGGCAACATGACTCACAGTACCTCTTGGGTAATTAAGGTTTAAAGCAATTTCCTACAAGAAAAAACATTTGTCAAATGCCTAAACTACCCTTATAGTCAAAATTTTGAAACAATGGCAAATGACAACAAGTCAATAACTTAACAACTTGCAAAGGTCTAACTGAAGTAAATAGCAATGTACTTCCGTTTTTTTCTTATCAAGACATTATTAAACTTTGAAAAATATACCCAACGGTTTGCATTTGCATGTAACTTGGTAGATTTTATAAATGCAATATTTGACCTGACTTATTTTTAGGAGATTATTTGACTATTTCTTAAATACCTAAATTACCCTTTAATCACAACTAGTCATAGACACCTTTTGGACCGAAATCAAGATAGTCAAACTTTTGCAATGATGGCAAAGGACAAGTAAGTAAAAAACACTTTTTTTTCCTGTAATGAGTTGTAAAAAACAATCGGAAGATTTTTTTGGTTGAAGTTGATTTTTCTAGAAAAAAATCAAAATTTTAATGGTTAAAATCATAAAAACATTTCTTCGAGTGGTTAAACTAAACAAATTCCAAACTATAGTGGTTTTTACAGACTTCAAAGTTTTATGTAGTGTTTTTTTTAAATAATGAAAGTATATTGCTATTTCTTGCATTTACCCAACTTGCTAAAAAAACGAAAGGAATATTAAAACAAAAAACAACTTTACCTCAATGGCAGAACTGTAATTACCAGTCAAATCATGAGTCAAGATTAAGATCTTGAGACGAGGACTGAAATTGTCACTAATTTGAAACTCAGCTAAAAGTTGAAATAAAGCTCTTAACACAAGAGCATGCTCCAGCCATATTCCTTTATATAGAAACTCGCTTCCCACAATAGCAACAACAAAATCATCAACTCCAATATTCATATTTACACGCAGATGATTTTCTTCATGAATGATTGTTAAATTTTCTATTTTGCAAGCTTTGGAAGGAGATCCAGGTATGACAAAGTAGTTTCCATCATCAAATGCAGCATAAAACATCTGAAAAATAAGGAAAATAAAAATCACATCTTTAGGGATATATGTGGGTCCCATTCCCATCTTTATTAATCGGACCTATTATCACATTTTTATTCTCATGACATCATTCAATGGGATGGGACCCACAAAATCAAAATGTTAAAATTGCCATGCAGAATAGTGTGAGATACAAAGAATGACGATGAAAACGACTAGAAATAGCAACATACTTTCATTTAAATTTATTTGTGTATTATAATATACTACTTCCATTTAAATGAAAGTACATTGCTTTTCTTTTTTTGCATTTAAACCTTAGATTATATACATATATATACATACAGGTAGGGCATAGTTTGGGAAGACAACAACTGTAGCTCGATTAAAAATTGCCTTCCAATCATCAATAATTTCAACTTTGCCACTGGAGACATAACTTGCCACACGAGTAGCAAGAGATTTTTCATGGATACTCCATATAAGAGGAACAGATTTAAAGGGTTCCTGCAAAAGGCTGCAACAAAATATAAAAATTGCTCAGAAATAGGACTAAATGAAAGAATTAGAAAACTTATTTTTGGTAGTAAATAAGACTCCACTTACCATGAAACAACATCCTTTGCTTCAAGAGAGTTCACAAGTACACCATCATAGCTACAAAAGATTATAAAAAAAAAAAAATGTTGTAGAAAACATTTTTCGGGAGTTTTTGTAATTATAATATAGTAATATATAGTAAAAAGCAACATACTTTAACCAGTCAATTGTAATGTCTGTTTTATTGTTAGCAGCCATAATATTCACAGGAACTCCAATACTTCTCCAAATAGAATGGACAGGTCCGTTTTCAAGCGAGTAAACCTACAGAAGTTATATAATTTGTGTAGAAAATAAGAAACTTATAAGATAAAAGTAGCTTAAATGTTGATGAAACAAACGGAATTAAAACAGCACCTCAATTTCATAGCCAATTGCCCTTAAAGCAGCTGCAACTGTGACCATTAATATCTGCTGTGGATCAACCAACAGATCTGCAAAAACCTACAAATTGAAACTAATAAAAAGCGAAACTAAAATGAACATGAAAATGGAAGGAATTTTGTAAATTCATTAACAATAATACTCACCAAAGCAAGTTGGGGCTTTCTATTGGGAAATCTGGCTGCTGTTCTTGAACCACCAAACGAAACATTGTTCATTTCTTCTCTTCGGAATTTCATCATAAGCTTGGTGGGCATAAACTTGACATCTTCACCGAAATCCAAATCACCAATCTGTTTCAATAAGTTGATGAAATCAGAATCAGCCACTCGTTTCAGGAAATCGCCATCAGCTTTATCCACCATGGAAAGCGGCAAGAACATTTGAACCAAGAACATGAAGAAGATGAAGACAGCCAACGCTGAAACCCATTGCAAGTAATCTATCTTCTTGAAACCAATAAGCCTCGCAAATCTTGATCTGGGTCTTTGCAAATGCGAAGAATTATTTGGTGAAATTTTAAGTAAAGAGTCTCTTTTAATAGGAAGTACCGGACTAAGAGAACCCATTTACATTCCCACCGATATTATACCAAATCCCCAAATCGGAAATCCTACAAAACCCAGTAAGAACACAAAGAAAGAATCTTTATCGACGGATTAGTAACGAAATGTTTCTTGAAAACGATGAAAGGGTTTGCTGATTATCAGCTTTGTTCTTGAGCTAAGAATGGGATCAAATTAATCACATAGTGGAGTGTGATGATATAAACACGAGTGGGGAATGAATGAGGTATGGCAGAAGGACTATTTGTTTTCTTCTATTTTATTTGTATAAACTAAAAAGAGAAGCCCCCCATTAAAGAAATCAATAGATCCTGTCGATGAAAACAAGCAATGAGAGTTTCTAGAGAGAGAAAGAAGAGAGAGACTGTTTGGGAGATGGAATTTTATCAAGAAATATAGGGAAGATGGACTGAATTCGAAGTCGCCTGCTTTATATTTGAGGTCAACTCTTGTTCGAACTTGTACTTGTAATAAGTTATTATATAATTTAAGTTTATAATTTTCAACATATAATGCGAATATAAAGAAAAAGAAAATACACTGAATTTTTACACCTTTTTTGTTTGTTAAATTCTTTTTTTTAATCTTACTTTGAAATTAAGAAATATAATTTAATGATCAGATTTTTTTATAAATGGCTAATTTATACATCTGCTAAATATAGATATAAATTTATAAATCTACGTCAAACAACGCTTGAACTTGTAACATATTGGGTGAGAGCATAGTTTTCTTGAAAGGTATTTTACCAAAAAAAAAAAGTTTACTCGGTCATATTAACTATTTATTATAAAAAATTAATATAAAAGCTAAGACATTGAATGTCGATTATTTATATTTTGTAAATGGAAGTTAGTTTATTTAGGTGTAATTTATTTAATAAATACTTAAAATATTTAAGCTTTTAATACAAGTTGATTGTATTTGTAGCTACAAAGTTGTACATATTAAACTTTATATGGCAGTATGTCTTTGTGGTCCTCATACTAATATAATAATTTGCAATGATTCTTTTAATTATGTTGAGATAAATGCATTGTTCATTTCTTGGAAAACATAATATTTTTATTTAATAACTAAATATTCACACTATATTTCATTTTTTAATAATTAAATATTCAAATATATATTTCAGCTATTTAATAATTAAATTTTCTGCACAAAGAAATGCTCTTGTAATGGTTGAAGTATCCAACTAATGAAAGCTTTGCAGTCGAAAACTAGGTATAAATTTCATTACTTGTAGTAGAAGTTATTATAAAGATATTGCTTTAAATCATACCATTTTAGTCCTTTGAAAAAAAATGATTTTTCTTCACGAATCAATTGGCATCTCCTCAAAGTCAAAATATTCCATTAATAGAGACAAGACATTTTATGAAAGGGTTGCAATCTAACACATGATATAATTTCATTGCATGTATATAATAGAAGTTATTATAAAGATGTTGATTTAGATCAAACCGTTTTAGCCTCGTGAGAAATGAATTTTCTTTCTGAATTAATCGATGTCTCTTCAAAGTCAAAAGATTCATTTAAAGTCATCAAAAACAACTAAAAGGTTAAATTTAGGGATACGTATCTATTATCAAATAAAGTTATTTTGTTAGAGATATTGGGCCGGATGCAGGGGCATATTTTAGGTATGTCCTACGACCTACCTAAAATTTGAATTTCATTTATAATATATATACAACAAAAATTATGAACTACCTTAGAAAAAATAAAAGACCTACCTTGAGTTTGTTTTTTTAAAAAATGTCTTAAAAAATCATTTTAAAAGAAAATAAAAATAAGTTACATGGAGCATTTGTGTTGTTAAATATATAGGGTTAAATATAATACATAGTTTTATCAAACAATAAGGTATCAATGCACTAATAATCAACTATTTTTTATTAAATCGTTCGGTTTTTTCAATTATATTTTAGTCGTTTTTTTTAAAAAAATTTAATTGGTGGTGCCTGATGGGTTTTTTCAGTTATATTTCATTAAATCGTACACGACCCGGCCCGGCCCCTCACAAGTGTTGGTGATTTTTTTTATCGGCTTCACTTAATTTGGGAACCACGTGATATTTTGTTCTAGATTCGCCACTGGCCGAATGGAATGGTAACACTCTTACCATATTGTTACATAGGATTTTTAGTTTTTTTGAAAACATGTAAGTTTATCATGTCTAACATAAAAAAATAGGGAGTGATAGTATGTCAATTTAATAGGGTTTATTTTGGAAAAAAAAATAGAAAAGAAAAGAAAAAGGAATTAATCAATCACATCCCAAGATCCACCTAAACTCTTTCTCTCTCTTCTCGTTGTGGGTGTAGTGCTTCTCTTCCGGCGAGCTCCATGGCACGAGCCAAGGGGCGGTGTACAGCGCTCCTAGCGAGCCCATTCCTTTAAGCCTAAGGGCGTGTTTGGCAAAAGTAGTTGTTAGCTGGAAGCGGGTAGCGTGTAGCGGGAAACTATAACTTTTATTTGTTATATGAGTGTTTGACAAAAGTAGCTGAAAGCTTTTGAAATATATAAAATTACATAAAATGACAATTGATTAAAAATAAATAAATATATAAATATATTTTTAAGGGTAATTATGGAAATTGATTTCAAAATGTCAGTAGCGTTTTGTTAAACGCTACATGAAGTAGTTTTTAGATTTGGAGTGTTTTATTTAAACTAAAAGCTAAACGTTCGTACTACCAAACGAAGCTTTTTGTTTAAACTAGAGCGTTTTGTCAAAAGCTAGAAGCTCCCAAACGCTTCCAAAAACTTTATGCCAAACACGCCCTTAAGTATGATCCAGACAACAAGTAAACCAAATCTTCCGCTGTCCGGACTATGATTTCCTTTGAAATAGTTTTAAAAAATATTTTAGAAAGACTTTAAATCTTTTGAATGAATTCGAAATTGAAGGAACTTAAGTCCACCTTAGAAATGGCTATGAAATATAGACTTTAGTGTGCTACATCAATGACCATATATTCCAATGTGTAGACTGTAACCAATACCACAATGAGTGTTATTAAAATAGAACAAGTCCTTGAAAGGCAAATTTATGGTGATTTGAAGAATTATGGTTTCTTGAGATTTACACTTGAAAAAAAAACATGGAAACCATGTTTTTGGATGGTATATAAACAAAATGGATACTCCAACATAAATTTAAGATTTAAAAAAAAAAGTTCATTTGGATCAAAGATGCAAAAGATATGAAGATTTGAAAATGGATGCTTGATTTGGATGATTAATGAAAAGCTTGAGAAATGCTATTTGGAATTTTCCATGTACTTGATTTTTATTCACCATTTCAGTGCAAAGAAAGTTACAACATGTAGTTAAGACAGTTAGGGATCCAATGCAAGAAGAATTGTCACAATTGGGGTTGAAATGAAAAGGTTATGAAGGAAATGGTGAAGGGTATCTTATTTACGTGGCAGAGTAGAACCATGCACTTGGGCCAAGCTGAACAAAGTTGACAAATAGGAATGGGTTTGGGGTTGTCTATGCGGCTGAGTACCCTTCTCGTTTAACTTTAAGCCTTACATTTCCATGCAAGTCATGACGAGGAGTCTAAAGTTGATCATTTTTAATTACATGCTTTTCTCATTTCAAGCCATTTTTCATCTTTAAACCTTCTAGACTTGTGTATGTATTTGAAGGTGCAAAAATATGTGTTCAAGACTCAATTTTTTAGACAAACAGAGGAGAATCAATAGGAGGAAACAAGAATAGTCGACTATCAACTTAGATTAAAGGCAATATCTTGAAATCTTTGCAACTTAATGGTGTTTTTGGTGAAATTGGAAGTTCTCGTGCACCTAGTCTTGGATTATAGCTTTGCATGTTAGAATCAAACCTAGTTAATGATAGATGGAGCTATATTAACATAAATTATGATGTAAATTTCACATATTGAAGCTAGAAAGGATGGATTTAAGCATTTAAAGAAGAAATTAGTTATATACAAAACCTTGGAGATGAATGTAATAAACACATATCCGTCTTTAGTATGTGGAAATTGAGTAATTTGAAGGTTATACATAATACACATAAAACCTAACGTAGAGAAAAGGGTATGCATGTTTGAAAATATGATAGATAATGATAGATTAAACATTCTTAACATGTTATTGTTACTAGAACAACAAGATTGAAGCATGAATGATTATTTTCTCATTGATTTGGGTCAAGAACCCTAAACTGGAATGGTAAATGATTAAGGCATCAAAGAAAATTGCAACTGGCGTGTGAAATGGAGAATATGGATAATGTTAGTAAAATCTATGAATGCTTACGACCGACTCCTATTGTTTCTCATACATGTATGGAAATGATACTTTATAAATAAACCACTTTTTCAATAAAAACCCAAAAATTTTAATTATACTGAACTGTTTTTGTATACTGTTTAAAACTTTGTGGTTTTAATTATTAGAATTTCCAAAACATGGAGACATGCAATAAATAAATGATAAAATCATGGAAAATATGATGTTGACAATGTACCAATCCATCAAACTATGGTAAGTTCAATGGATTTGAGATTGCTTTATCTTTACATTTCACAATGCATAAACCTTTATTAATACCTTTTACATTACTAAGTTCTCATCAACCTTTACTTAAATATTATCTTTCTCAAATACAAGAAATAACATGCTTTTTATGGATAATGAGAAAAAAAAACATGTAATTCTTATGAAATAAAAATAGGATTTGTGAGAGCAAGTATTGTTAAGTTTCTTTAAAGATGAAGATTAGTCGTGTAGTATTTATTAGACAAAGTTTATGCATTTGTTACACACACCATATACAACTCCAAACTACAACCACACTCGCTAACTAACTACTCTTTCTCTTTCTCTTTCATAGTAAAACTATTCTTTGATTCTTTCCCGTTCACTTGTAGAAGCTGTAACACAAATGGTACACGGTTTGGTTTAATAAACAGCAACATACTTTCATATATTTGTTTATAGCATCCTACTTTCATTTCTTTTTACAATATTTCTCAACATTCTACTTTGAAAAATCTACCCAAACAACAATGCTATAATTGGGTGGATTTTTCAAAATACAACGTCCTCCTATATACTAGTAAATAAAATAAAAATTCAAAGTACAATGTCTTGATGAAAAATATGGTTTATGGGGAGTACAATATGCAATGAAAGTTGTACCTTCATGAAAATGAAATGGGTTGTTGTTGTTTGGTTGGCTTTTGTTTGACAAAGAAAGCGGATAAGAGACTTTTGCTGCGACCGGGTGCCTTTGCCTTTGCCTTTTCCTTTTCACGTCTTGTTTGGTTGTCAAATGACCGGAACGGTGTCATTGGCTTCTGACCCTCACTTGGATCCTATATAAATAAATAAAAATCATCTATTGTTTAATGTTTATTACCAAATGACCAAAATACCCTTTCAGTTTTTTGTGAATTCTGTCCGAAGGTTGGAAATCACAACGATTGTATACTACCAAAAGATTAAAATACACTTTTACTTTTTTGTCGATGTTGTCAAAAGGAAATTACAACAAGTGTATATTACCAAATGACTAAAATACCCTTTCCGTTTTTTTTTTTTTTTTTTTTTTTTTGTCAGAAGGAGATAGATTATAACAATTCTATGTTACCAAATTTTCAGTTTTTTGTCGATTTTATCAATGGGAATTTTTCATCAAGTGTAAAGTACCAAATGACTGACTAACATAACCTTTCAGTTTTTTGCCAATTTTGTCGAAAGAAAATTATAAAAACAAATGACTAAAATAACCTTTCGGTGTTTGTCAAACGGAAATTTTCATCAACCGTATAATATATTACCTAATGACTGAACTACCCTTTCGTTGATTTTTTGTATATTACCAAATGACTAAAATACCCTTTTAGTTTTTTGTCAATTTTGTCAAGAGGAAATTATAACAATTGTATATTACTCAATGACTAAAATACCCTTTTGGTTGTGGAACCAGCAAAGCACAGAAAGACTAGAGAAATTTCATCAATTATAAATAATTAAAAGATTTAGAATTGACATACACAATTACACATACCCGTTGAATGATGCCAAGTGTCTGCATAGCTGTGGTAGAAGCAGGCCCCACATTCGACAACCGAAGATTATCTGCCCTCTTTTGCATGCCCTCTTCACCATCTATATACATATATAAATATATTTATAAAAAAAAAAAAAAAGGACCAAAACTTAACTTTCTTAAATAATATATATCTAATCATACTGGATGGAGTACGGCGAGATGGTTTTGGATCTTCCATGCTGCAATAATAATAACAAAAAAAATGGGTTACATGCAAAAAAAATAGCAACATACTTCCATTCATTTGCTTCTTATATACCACCATACTTCTGTTTCTTCCTATATTACAGCATTATACTTTTAGAAAGAAAAAAAATACCAAATTATCATTGATATTTTTATTGCTAAACTTGGGTGGATTTTTCAAAGTATAATGTCTTAATAAGAAAAAAAAAACACTATAACAGAAATAAATGAAAGTAGAATGATCCTATCCTATGCACAAATAAATGAAAACATGTAGCTATTTCCTTTTATTAATTAATCCCAAAAACATCAAGTTCTTTTTCAGAAACTATTACACAGATTAGGTAGATTTTTCAAAGTATAATGCTCTAACAGAAAAAATATATGAAAGTCCAATGCTATAATTGGGAAAAAAAAATTCAAAAAAAAGTATAAAAATATCACATTTCTTTTCAGGAACTTTTATACAATCTTCAAGAATCCATGAAGTTGGTTTGACAATGAAATGAAATGGAATGAATAAAAAAACAAAAATTTCTTTTGTTGTGACTTGTGGAAAAAGAGAAATATTTTGATAGTATCATTATTACCTCATCAATGGGCGTGAACCCCCTTTCAAAGTAGATTTAGTTTCTGTTGCTAAATGCCAAGAAAGAGTATTTGAAGCTGGGGTACCTGGAGTAAAACACAATTTATAAACTAAATAATTTTCACTTTTTATAACTTCAATTAAAAAAAGTGGCATGGGATTTTTAATCCAACTGATCATTGTTCTTGTGAGATTGCCCAAAATACACTACTTACCAAGAATGACTAGTTCTAGACATAGAATGGAAATATAAACACAAAAAATAACCATCTTAATCTTATTTCCAAATTTTTGTTAAAAAAGTTGCTCATTTATGAATAAATATATGCTCTTTTGTAGTTCAGAAAACGGGAATTTGTTTCGCCAGCTACAATGGTTCAAGAAATCAATCACTTTTTCATGATAACAAAGAATGAAGATTGAAGAGGAGGGCATTCACGTCTTTTGCACACACAAGAGACCGAAAGTATGTCAACATCCCCACAGTTACAAGTTAGAAAATGTGAATGTTATTTGGAGAATTAAGTTGTAGTTGTGTTTCTTTTTAATCTAGAACAGCCATTTGGGTTTATAACTTATTTAACTAAGTCTGAACTTTTTTTATTTGATGTAAACTTTAGTTTTTCTTTTTTCTTTGGGTCAACCTGTTTATCTAATAGGTCAGGTGGGACAAAAATGTCAATTTTGCCCCATTCACATCACTATCAGCCTCAAAAAGGATAAATGTTGCAAAGAAGGGGAGTATTAGCTTTGCTACCTGAAGTAAATTGGCGAGTTCGTGGTTGAAGATTACTTTGTCTTGCATTTGAATCGGTTTGAATCTGAGGGCTAAAATGGACCTTTTTGCTGACAGAATCTGGGTTCAAAGAAAATGTTAACACATTTCAAGCACCATCTATGTATGTCAAAGTGTTGTACAAATATTAAGATTCTTACTAGGTAAAATGTAACGTTTGTGATGCCTTGGTAAAACTGCTAATAATTCTTGCTGTCTGATGGCTTCTTTATCCGTATATGTTTGGCATGTAAGAAGTTGCTTTACATAAAAAAAATAAAAGAAATTTTAAAATTATATTGGAGTGATTTACTTTCTAAATCATCGTTCTTACAAAAATATCAAAGAAAAACTGATTAAAATTCGGGTGTGGTTTTTCTCTTTTCTTTATTTAGCATTATATTTAGCATTATTGCAAGAATGGTAGTTTGTTTGTAAGTCAATAAAGAAAAAAAAAAGATCAATATATCGTACTTGATGTAAACATGTAAGATGTAACTCTGTTGATGAAATTTCTGAACTCTGTTGGTCAAGAAGGTCAGTGAGTTTGTAAGCAACAGTGCCAAAGATGGTCAACAGCATTGACTAGGGCTCGAATCGCATAATCTTTCAGGTTATCAAGGACCCTGTATCACAATTCATCATTCATGTAAAGTATAAGGGCGAATTTGGAAAAAAAAAATATTCACAATAGTTCCACTACGAGCCAAATGTCGGGTTAATCGCTTATTTATGCAATGACTTACACATTTTTTACCAAATGATGCAACAAAGTGGATTCTTATCAATTTAAATAAAAATTTACTTTATTGCATGAATTGGTAAAAGGTGGTGAGAAATTGAAACATGGCTGCATTAATTAAATAAGAAATCCACTTTCTTGCCTAAACTGAAAAAACGTGTTTTGTTGAATAAATAAGTCTTTAACTCATTCTGAAATACCCTTAGTGATGATAAAAAAGAGGAATCATGTAATTATAATCAACCTACAACTAATGTAATGAGTCCTGATAGGTATTTAATTTTATCCAAAACACGCGATTATAGCAAAATATAGAGCTGTTTTGGCCTTTTTAAGAACAATCGTGTGAACGCTGAGTTATTCGATTGCCTACAATTGAACAAAAGATCCAACTATCAAGTTATAAGGTAGGCGAAAAGATGAATCTTACATCTGTTTTTGATCGCTGTGAAGATAAGATTTTTCACAATATTCTGCTGCCGAATAAAGCTGGGGTCTTAAGTTTTTGAGTTCCTAAAAAACATACAAGAATCAAAACCAATTAGCAACGATGATTGGTTACTATTTTAGCATATAAAAGCCTCCAATAAAGCATAAACACAACCCTAATTCATTAAAGTATAACAAGTTATTCCCATGTCTCTGATATGAACCAAGCTTGATCCTAGATTGGAACTCTATACATTTTTACTTGATTAGGGTTTTTGTGTCCTAACATTATCATTTATTGACATAAGAGGAATCACACATCGAGCTAATTCATCCATTCCACATCATAATGAAATTGTTATACGACTCAAACCACTAAAGACCAACACAAGCTAGTCCCAAGTATGTAGTGAACTCAAGCCTAAATTCGATTGAAATTCATAAACTTCAATTTGATTAGGATTTTTGTGACCTGGTATCGTAGTTAATTTTCACACAAGAGAACACATAAAACAGAAACCTAATACAGGAAAACCAAAACTATAGCACAGATTTCATAATTAACATCCGTAGATATCATTTCATATAACAATACAGATCTGACATCAACCGAAAAATGAGAAATTAAATTGACTGAAAACCTGTAGGGCTTTAACAAATCCAATGCTTTGTTCCATTGACGCCTCTTCAATTGTCATTCCTTGATTTGATTGTTCCACTTCCATCGCTCACTTAAAATAGATACACCGATAAAATCCAGAACATTTGATCACCAAACTCTGGGCAAAAACCCTAGTATAATCGTAAAAACGCAAATTCAAGAAATATGCGTAAGAAAACTAGTTCGGAATCTTATGCGTAGGGCTACGAATCAAAAATGTTTGTCGTTTTGATTGGATTTTAGAGTTTGGAAATTAGAGGAGTGTTTGTTAAGCAAAAAAGGCAGAAAGTATTTGGGGGAAGTGTGAAGTAGAGCGGGGAAAGTGTTAAATGTAGAAAGAATTTATTGCAAGTCGTGAAAGGTGGTTGAAATCGAAATCAACGGGACTATCATTAAAGCTAGGTGAAAATATTGAAATTAGGTTTATTTGCATCAAGGTCCCTATACTTTAAGCTAGACGCTAGTTGAAGTGTGGGGAATTTTGAATTTAGATTTAATTGCATCAAGGTCCCTATACTTAAAAGCTACATAAATTTTGAACTGTGGAGAATTTTGAAATTGTTATATAAAGAATCTTTGTAATATACAGATTGATTAAAAAAATATATCAAAAAGTAACAATAAGTATTTTTTTTTAAATAAATTTTAAAATAAGGAATGAACAAAACTTATTAATTGCAATTTACTATTATATTTATTATATCTAATACTTTATAGTGGGGCACGAGTACGGCAACTCACGATATTTGTTATTTGCATTGAATACATTTGTTGAGAATTAGAAGCAACCATTGAAGTTAAAATATCTTGAGCAAAAGTGGTATATAGAAGAACTTTTATCCCGAGCACAGAAATGATCGAAATACCAAAGTAATCTCAAATCAACTATAATCTGTTCTTATGGATTCAAAGGACAACCACTCAAGCTATGATACCAATTGTGAGAACAAAGATTTGATTGCACAGGGACAAGGTTTGAAAACTCAAACCTTGAGTTAATGCTTAAGATCAATGTCTGCTTCTGATTAAGTGTTCTAGTCAAGTCTGGCAAGACTAGTCGAGACTGAAGATGAAAATCAACAAAGTACTTCAAGTATTAAATATGGAACAATGAGTACAATCAAGGTAAAGACAATAAATGAACAGGTAGAATGTTTAAAAGAGTTTGATGTGAGATAAAAGTGAAAGTGAAGTAAATTCAAATATAACTATATTTGGAGCAACAATCTGTTATCTATTCTTGTCATTAAAAACTCCTTATATAGGAAAAGGAGGTACAACTTACAAACCGAAGTGATACAAAGGACTGGTAAACAAGTTACATCTGACACTCTGATTATCCAAATTGACAAAAAGACTTAGTCATATGTAAGGTTACATCAAACAAAAGACAAGAATAATTAATGCATAGATTGACAGACACATAATCTCGGAACATCTCTTCACCTCGTACCATAAACTTCACTCTTGACATCAACCATCATCTCGTACCATAACCATTTCGGACTTAAGCTTGACTTCGGAACTCCAAGGGTTAGAGATTGCTAGAGGTTCACTTTCAGGTTCCAACAATCTTCCCCTAAGTGAACTTAGCAATCCAGTCAGCTTAGTTCAAGTCTTCCTTGATAAACACATACGCCCTGTACAGCCAATCTCTGCTTCTGGCAGCTTGAAGTCAATCTTTGCTAAGTATTTTTCTGTTCCGAACAGATGGGCCAATTCAAAGTCGCACCGGCAAAATTCAGCTACATAATCTTTGAGGAAGCTCAAAGCAGCATGGTAAGCTCTTATGTTAAGATCATCGACTTGGTGGCTTCTGAAATGTGAAGCAATCGTCAGGATGTCATTTGGATTGATTGCAGGAAAGTTGGCGTCAGTGATGGTTTTTTGAGTTGGTTTGTTTCGGAAGATGTGGTATCGGAACAACACACAGTTCAGTTCGAACTTGGTTAAAATTTTCCTTCCGAACCCATAAATTTTGGTGATCCTTTTCCGAGACCATACTTCTTTTTGAGGAAGTGTGTTCTTGGAATAAAAGGTCTTCCAAAGTTCACGTTCAGTTCTGATGATCATTTGTGGATCATCTTCCGGGTGGAGAGGAGCGAACTTTGTGTAGAACTTGTTGTAAGGAGAGAAAGGTAGATCAATCTGGTCTGAATCTTGATTGGGAAGATCATAGTACATAAAAGGCACTATGTCGAGATCATGTATAATCCCTTCTCGGCAAAGAGGGGAAAGCCTTAGCATCATATGAGGATTGTCGTCTTTGAAGGATTGAATGCGGATGCTTTCCTCAAGAGCTCGATTTATTTCTTCCTGGGACCAACCACTTATCTCTTTCAAGGGAGTTTCAGAGTAAGGAAATTCCGAGATGGGCTTCTTTCCTTTATCTTGCTGTTTTTTGAGGACCGAGAGGATGTGTTGAATGTTCTCATCTACGGCGAATTTCGGAGGAAAGGAAGGCAGGGGCTCTTCTAGAATGTCATCAGGCTTCCGAAGAGGAAAGCCTTCATCGATAGGAGCAATATTGGGCGAAGGAATCGGAGGCAACATTGAAGTGGTGGCTTGGAAGGCGTCAACCGTTAGTTTGGTTTTAGCCTTTGCCACTTCTCGGCTTCTTTGAAGTACATCGACCAGAGTTGATGGCCATGAGACTGCTGACCAAATCCTTTACTCTTCCTCGGAGAGCACTTTGGCTGGGAACTTTTTCGGTGCTGGAATTCCTATGATGGCATTAGTGATGTACTTATCTTATTCATCATCATCATCATCATCATCATCACCTGGAGAACCTGAAAGAACTTTCAACGAATCATCAGAACTTTCATCTCGGGAGTCTGAACTCCGAGACAGGTTTTCAGGGAAAGGGTTGATTCCTGCTAGGCCCTTCTCCCCCTCTTGCAACGGATGACCCGACAACCGGTGCAAGCATTGAAGACTCTTTAAGCTCCGAGAATCGATCGAACACCTTCTGAAAACTTGTATTCATCTGAAGAGTCAGAGCGTCATAAGCTTCAGCTGTGGGATCCTGAGCTTTTAGATGATCGAAGAAGGCTGCAAGAATAGAGAGCATCTCGTCAATTTTATTGTACGGAACATCCACGATGTTCCAGCATGCCTTGAGGAGCTTGATAAGAAATTTTTATATAATCAGGTTCATCTCATCCGTCTTTCTGATCTCCTTCTCTAGCCTCTGAATCTATTTCTCATGGTGAACATGAGTTTGTTTGATGAGCTCGTTTGTGGCACCGACTAAATCATCATGAATGTTCAGCATTTTGGTGATGGTGTCGAGAGAGGCATCATACTTTTGTTCTACTTCCTTGATAGTGTGCTTGAGTCGGAGGGAGATAAGCTAATCGAGTTGGGCTTCCCTTTTCAGCAGTTGTGAGTCCGGACTTGTTTGTTTCGGACAGGGAGTTCAGAATTGCATCTAGCTTGGAATCCAGACCAAAAACTTTTCATCAAGATTTGTATTGAGTCCAGCAATAGAGGTTTCAATCACTTCAACTTTCTTCATCGTATCAGAGACATTGTCTCGGAGTTCCAAGAGGGAAAAAGGATCAACATAATTTCCAGCGGAGGATCCTGTGTCCGAGGTGGAGGTCTGAGACTTGTTTTTGTGATCGTCTTGGTTTACTGGCAGTTCGGATGGGCCATGCTGAGTTGTATCTGCATTGACTTGCTTGGGACTAGATTCTATTTCATCTCCGAAATGCGTTTGGGCTTGATCATCGATTTTGATTTCTTCATCAACTGGCTCGGAAGAGAAGGATGAAAGTACAGAATTGTATCGACTGGGATTGGCTCCTTCCATTTCTTGTAAAGCTCTTGAATAGTCAGAGCGCATAACCTCGGACTTGGGATCTCTAGAGGTTTCCTATTGACTGAGAACTTCCGAAAGTCCTGCCATAGGACTTCCATGATGTCGACGACGTTATCTTTTCCGGTGAAGATGATGTAGACGACGTACAACCAATCCTTGGTAAGTGTATCAGTGCCACCGTGCTTGCCGGAGAGACCTCGAAGTAAAAAGTGCATCAACACAGTCCATAGTCTTGGAACAACCAATTTCTTGAACTTTTTAATTAGCCTTAAATTCACCATCGTACCCAATGTCGTTGAGAAACGACTGAAGTTCTTGTTGAGTTGGTTCTTGAACCTTGAAATCTTCAGGGTTTTCGGGTATTCCAATCGCTTTCAGGATGGTCTTCTTGTGAACAGCAACGATTAGATCACCGGAGATTACTGTCTCAAGAACATTATTTTCAAATTTGATTCTTTCAAACGTCGTGTGGAGTAGACGAAGAGGAAGAGGTGGATCAGGGATCTTGGTAAGTGGAACTGAGATGGGATGTCGAGAGATGAACTCGATCATGACCCGGATGGACGCATCATAGTCTATGGGGTCCAGCGAGAAAAGTTGTGTTGTGTCCCTGAGAAAGGGTTCAGGTGAAGACGATGATGCACACCCTTTCGACGACTTCTTTTAAGAAACTGATTTGGCAATTTTGGAAACTGACTGGGAGGAAGCCATTGTTGCAGGTTGAAAGCTTGAAGAACACGGTTGCAGAGAGAAAAAAAGGGTTTAAGCTTTTTGTGTGCGTAAAGGGTAGAAGGGATTTCAGGTGGGTTTTTATAGGTTAAGGAAATGGGTCGGGTCAGAGGCGTAATGATGAAAACTGAATAAGAATACGGACCACATTTAATGTGTTGCCAAAAATGGGTTGAGTTGACCTGCAACAGCTAAGGTGGTTGTGGCATGATGTGCAGAATAGAACCCGTCACTTTGGTGATGTGATGTTTAATTGTATGGAGACGTGTGCAAAAATTGGTGCGGTTTTCTAAGATAAAGATACTCATCATTGAAAAAAGTAATCGTTTGGATTATTAAGATAAGAACGTTTCAATAAAAATGATTAAAAATTTTTTGAGTTTCTGAACAAGTTGATCTCGGAGTAGAGAGACTCCGAGATGAATTTATGAAATGATCTCAGAGCCTAAGAGTTCTGAGATGAGTTGTCATAAGATGCTTCCACGATAGGAATGGAAACACTTTGTACTTAATATAGAGTACGAGATTGCACAGACTCGGACTGAATATAAGAGGTTCAAAACTAGGAAGATCTTAGTGGACTTTTGTTAAACGGATTTTGAGACTCCGAGACAAGAAGGATCTGATCTCGGACAAGGAATGAAAGTTCAATACCGTTCCAAACTTGAATTCTGAGATGATCTTCTTAAGTATTTATGAAGTAAGTTTCGAGGTGAGATTAATACCAATGTGACTATATTGGTCATGGACTCCATATGATGAAGTGAGCTGTACAACTTAGAACTACAATAGGTGGTTAGACAAAAAGACAC